CTTGGATGGAAACAGGATTATGTCTTTATTTTCATTAACCTTTCATTTCCTTTATAATCCAATGTTTTATTTTATGCATTTAAAAATGTATTGAGGGGGCAGCTAGGTGGCGCAGTGGATAGAGCACCAGTCCTGAAGTCAGGATGACCTAAGTTCAAATCCAGCCTCAGACCAAACAACTTGACATTTACTAGCTGTGTGGCCCTGGGCAAGTCACTTAACCCCAATTGCCTAAAAATAAAAAATAAAAATTTATTAAGAAGAGGCTCCACCAGACTCCCAAAGAGATTCATGACATAGAAAAGGTTAAGAACCTTTTGATCTAATTCAGCCCCCAATTTCACAGACTGGCGTAGGTCAGGTCTATCCTGTCAATCTCACCCCACCTCCCCCGAGGTAGCTTTTCTAGGCCTAAAGGTCTGGTCTGTCTCAGAAGGTCTTCATTTCCAAGATCAGTGTTTGTGTCCTCATCCACCCAGGAACCATCTATGCTATATCCTCTGGGAAGACTCAGCATTCAATTGGGGGGGGTGCTAAAGGTCAATTCTTCTGGGTTCTGGATTCCTCCTTTTCATAACCTTTTTCCTCTGGGCCTCAGGATCTAGGTGGGAGCACAGGAAAACTGTTTTTGACCAGGACTTTGGGAATGGAGAAAAGTTAGTGGCATGGAAACAGTATCCAGCTTGGTTATTATCAGGTTGGACCCCTCAAATACAGATTTTTAATAAACATTTATGATTATTACTCTTGTTGGTAATAATTCTTGGGTCTATGATTTTATTGGTATAGGAAACTCTGTGGTAAAGAAGGTCTGTAATCAAGGTCTATCAATGAAGGTCTGTAAGCTACAGAAAAGCCCTTGAGAATCTCCTGAGAAGGTTAAGTGACTTGCCAAGGGTAATACAAACAATGTGTGTCAGAGGCTGGATTTGAACCCTGGTCATTCTGGCTCTCAAAGTCAGCTCTTTACCCACTGGGCCAAGTTTCTTAAATAATAATGCCTCAAAAAAGCAACATGGTAAAGTTAATTTCTTGAATCTCACTCCCTTCAGCTGTTAGCACTTTATCTTTCCTGAAATTAGATTGTTTCTTTTTATTTACTTACTTTTGTACCTGTAGATTGTAAGCTCCTTGAGGGTAAGACCTGTTTCATTTTTGTCTTTGTGTCCCCAGTCCCTTCCAACACACTGAGAACTTAATATTTTTTTGCATATAATAAATACATTAGAAAAAAACACTACCTCTGGAATTTGAGGACCTAACATTCAAGTCCTACCTCTTAGGTTTTCTATTCATATAACTGTGAGCTAGTCATTTTACCTTCCTAGGCCTCAGTTTTCTCAGTTGTAAAATGGAGGGGAAGAGTTGGACCACATGGGCTGTGAGTTGCTTACCGCTCTAAATCTATAACCCACTGAAATCAAACTTCACTTCTTTACATCTCTCAGCTGCATAAGCCACAGATAAGTTGATGAACCTCTCTGGGCCCTGAGTAACTAAAATGGTTACTATCAGCCTCAGTGAAGACATTCCCACAAAAGAGGCTCTCATTTACATAGTGCTTTATGTTTCATAATGTGCCATGTATTCACTATCTCCTTTGATCTTTACAACATTCCTAAGCGATAGAAAGCCCAGATATTGTTAGCACCATTTTACCCATGAGATGCAGAAGAATTAACTCATCAATCGATAAACATTTATTAAACACATACTATGTGCCAGACACATAAAGCCAGTAAATGGTTAGAGCTGGGACTAAAAGTTAGCTCTCCTGACTCATAAGCCCAACGTAATTTTGTGCCATTGAGTATGGATATAAATGTGTAAGTTCCTGGGACAGGGATTTTCCATCCTTCTGATGTCATTGTATTTTAATAAAGTAGTAACATGATTTATTTCAAGGGTAGTCAGTATTTTCATTTTCCAATTTCCCTAAAATGTTGAAGAGCAATTATCTTAGTTACTGCCTCCCCTTCAGAATGAAGGTTAATAAAGAAAAACTGCAAGGTCTCGCAGACATCAATTTGGGAAGAGAGACAAAAGACCTTTAATAGCTCCCATAAAATAATGATCTGCAGTTTCAATATAGCAGCTGTGTGAAATTTTTCGGACAGCACAGCAGTTACTATTCCCACTGCAAGACAAAGATGCAGTCTGTCAATCTAGTGAAATGATGCAAGGCCATCATTCACTGGGTTGGTGGTTTCTGCTAATGTACCCAGAAGACAAAGTCTATTCTAAGTACACTGTTTCCCTGTTGTTCTCAGTGACACCATTCCTTAACAGAAATGCTTTCTAGCAGTAAAAAGATGCATTAGTTACAAGTAACTGACATCATAATTTCCTTTCTGATACTTGCCAGAAGCACAGAGGGGGCGTGCACATTTTGGAGAGGGAGATGGCAATTATATTAAGTCACATGCTTGCCATGCCTCAAGAAGACAAAAGAACCCATAACCCCAAGTTGCTGGATTTATAGACATAAAACCCAGGTTTGAATACCAGTTTTCCCACTTACTCCTGTGGGACAATCTGTGGGCAAGCGATTTAAACTCTCTGGACCTCGGTTCCTTCATCTGTAAAGTTAGAAAAATGAATTCAGTGACTTTTAAGGTTCTTTCCAGCTCTAAATGTAAATGCTTATGATGATCTTATGTGTAGAGACAATCTGGTTTATATACTAAAAAGACCTTTGGATTTGCAATCAAAAGACCTGAATTTGAGGCAGTGTGGTAGAGTGGAAAGAGTCAGAAGAAATAAATTTGAAATCCAGCTTTGCCGTTCACTATCTGTGCAACATTAAGGAAGTCACCTCTCTGGGTTCCAGTTTTCTCATTTATAAAATGACTTCTCAGGTCCCTTCTACCCTAAGATCCTATGAATTTTAGTTTTCCAGTAGTTGTGTGACCTTGGGAAAGCCACTGAACCTCAGTCTCAGTTTCCTCATTTGTAAAACAGATATAATGCTTGCATTATTAATGCTGGCATCACAGAACTATTTGTCAGAATTGAATGAAAGTTTAACAAAAAAAAACTTCGAAAACCTTAAAGCCTGTATACACCCAGCACTTATTCCACATATTAATCTCCAGCAATGCATTATCCTGCCTGATACATTATTTCTGTCACGTGAGAGTTCTGTAATCTCCTGGGTTAGCTGTAAAAATAGAAGGTATGTTGTTGTAAGAATTAGGAGAAATCCAGCATCATAGGTTGAGTGGATCCCTGCCCACCTGAACTAAGCAAGCCCACGTTCAGAGAGTTTTCAAATCTACAAAGAGTGAGCCAAGTTTGACGGAGGGAGGCAGGTTAGCTGTTTCAGGCCATTGAGGTCTTGGAAGCAACACAGGTGTGCCCTGCTTTAAGAAAAGTAAGTGCATTGAAACATCAATTTACAACTTATCGGTTGTAATACCTATGCCCACAGAGAAAGGATTATTTTTTTCATCCTACACGTCAGGCTATATCTCACACTATCTCTTACATACAGAGCAGCCTAAAAGCTTTACTCCAGTTATAAGTTCTAATAGTTTAACTGCACTCAGACTTTTGGGACACCTGGTGTAGCCAACAATCCAATCAAATCAGGCTGTTTATCATCTCCTAAAGATGCCAATAGAATGTGTGCTCCTTGAGGGAAAGGATTCTTTTTTATATTAATTTGTCTCCCTAACACTTAAGTGCAGTTCCTGGCACACAGAAAGTGTTTAATAACAGTCTCTTAATTGATTGCTTGCTTCATATTTTCCTAGTTCTTCAGTTCTTGGTTTATGATGTTTCCCCCATACGGGATGCCTTATACCACACCTCCACCTCTAGGAATTTTACCCATTCAAGGCTCAACTTAAGTGCAGCTTTCTCTATGGAAATTCACCCAATTCTTTCAGTTGGAAGTGAATTTCACCCCCCTCTGAATTCTTAGGAATACTTTGTTTGAATCTCTCTCATGGCCCTTAGAACAAATAGTCTTGGTGACTTATGCACATGTTAATTTTTCTACTAGATTATAAACTCCTTAACAACCAGGACTGTATCTCATTCATTGTTAAGTATGAGGCCCTGCCCAACAAATATGAAAGGACAAATTTAACCTTTCAAGAATTCATCTCTTATATAAGGGATATTACATGTAATGTTGACATCCAATTGATTTGAAAATACATATAGCCTGTAAAAATGCAAACAAAGCAAAAATGCAAACAAAGCAAACATAATCATGAATGGAGATTATTAAAAGCCACAAGACATCAAAAGACATAAGATCACTGACTAGAGAACGGTTTTTTTAACTTTTTTGTGTCATGGTCTCTACTGGCAGCCTGTTAAAGCCTTCAGGTTGTGCACAATATTAATTATTATTGAAATAGTTACCAAAAATTTTTTTAGTGAGGCAATTAGGGTTAAGGGACTTGCCCAGGGTCACACAGCTAGTGAGTGTTATGTGTCTGAGCCTTGATTTGAACTCAGATCCTCCTGACTCCAGGGCCAGTGCTCTACCCACTGCGCCACCTAGCTGCCCCCTCAAAATATTTTTAGAAAAAAATTCACTGACTCCAGGTTAAGAATCCCTGGACTCTTTAGGCACACTCTTTAAATCAGCTAGGGACTTTTTGATGTGGAAGTTGAAATAATCAGAAGAACTAAACTTTAAAAGTGGGTGACTGGAGAGAAATTTGGGCAATATATCTTCAGTACTATAATGGGGAGGGGAAAAGTGGTGTAGAGGATACCATTAAAGATAGAGAATGCCATAAAGGTGGAAAATACCATTTGGCAGAGAATCCCGAATCACAAATCTCAAATCATATTTTCAATCATCTTCCCTGTAGGTTTGAGGTCACATTGCAACACATTCAAAAATGCCCAAACTCAAAAAATTCATTTAATATAGGTTGACTTTGTCCTCATTCATGAGAAGGGAGTGTAAAGAGTTACTGATAAAAAACATCTTATCTCACATTTTTCATTTACAATATCACAACAGCAAGACCTTTTAGTTTGTTTGTTTCATCCCAGAGTAGTTTTATTAGGGAATCCTGCCACCATGTTGACATACAAAACAATTTCCATGTTGACATAGAAATGTGAAATTCACTGTACAAAGATAAGGCTCGAATCACAGGTACTTGTACCCCCAGATCTTTAGTTATTCAATGAAGTAATCAACAATTCATATTTTATTCTTCCCAGAGCTGTGTTTATAAATATCAGACAAACCACAAAATATATTCCAAATACATAACATTTTACAAGACAGTTCAAAGCACAGACAGAAATACACAACATTTAACCTACAAATTCTTTATGATCCAACTTTCATTAGCACTGACACCAAGAGTTTGTGTGTGTATATGTATATCTCTCATTTGTGTGTGCATATATATCCACAGATGTATACGCAATAGTTATCACTAACAAATTAAATACTTAGTGAGTTTAAACCCACTACAACACCTACAGGGAAAAGCGAATGAATACTAGAAATGTCCATGCAAGGTAAAATGAGAACCAGTATGTATATGAAATATGTATCATTACCATGTGTACAAATACACATATAAAGACATATATATATATATAAAAACACACACATACAGAAAACATAGTCTATACATATACTCACACACTTCCCTTTCATCTCCAACCATATCTTGTACTGTTCATTTCCAGAAGTAATCTTGTCTTTATTTGGCCAGCCAATGGATGACAAAAATTTCCCCAATAAGCCTAATATTATCTCCAAGGCTCTATAATGCAACACTCAAGTTTTACATTCAAGAATCCCAGTCCTAGCTTTTGTTGTCATTATATAAACTCATTGGATTCTTAATATCCCAACCAATCTGTCTATTCACAAACACATATGTTCACTATGGGATTCTATTCAAGAGAAAGGGGATATTTAGCTGGAGTTTTTTAATCTGTATTTGTTACTATTTAAACATATCTTCCTTAACATTGATCAATACTCTGAGGAATAGGATGTAAGACATTAAATAATAGTGTGGTGGGGAAAAAATAGGAAGAAAAAATAGTTCAGTAGATTTCACTAGAGCATAGTCATTTCAGAGACTCACAAATAGCTTTATAATATGAATCAATATGAAAAAGTAGGAAGAAATAAAATAAATTAATGAAACATTACTTTCCAAGTTTGTTACTTGCAAAACTCTCAAAGACAGCAAATGGAGAAAGGTTGGAGGATCAGAGAATTAAGGTACATCATATTATTGGATTTTTGTATATTAATAGAAGGCATAATAAATTACTGAAATCATATGAAGAGTAGCATTGAAATTTAAGGTTATAAATCCTAATATAGCTAATTTAATTCAAATTATTTAAATTATTTCAGACCCAAGTAGAGAAAGGCTACCTTTCAAATCCAATTTGCAAAATCAGATGTCTAAATGAGGCATCCAGAGCCTTCAGTTTGGGCTCTTAGCACCAAAAACCAGGCTTATATGTATACATACATATATATATATATATATATATATATATATATATATATATATGCCCAGATAAAAAAATTACAGAGCAATTTTGAAAAATGTGCTCATGGTAAATTTAAAGGGTCAATAGAGTTTCACAGAGTCCATAAGTTAACCAACCTCTTTTTAAATGAGGCTCACATTATAGAAAAAGCTCCAAGATGGAGGGGTGGGGGGAGGGAGAGGGAGTCTTTTATAAACCAAACGCAATTATTTTGTGTCATTTACTTTGTGAGGGACTATAGTTCTTGCAATCGGGACATATTCTCTCAGTGGTAAGACAACAAACCCCACAACCATGGTTTAAATACTAATAAGAAGGGTACTAAACCAATTTTTCTCCCTTATACGGGAGAATAGTTCCCATGGGGCCATGGAAACATTTCCGTCTAAAAGATCCTACACTGTAAAAAAAAAAGGAATGCTACTACATGCATGACAATTCTTCCATATCCTCCATGTGAACCCTGTCCGCTCACAGACAGACTTGAAAGAATCAAAGTTAGGGTTGTATAAATTGTATTGCAAGCTGCATCTCTAATCCTACAGGGTAACACTATCACACATGGAAAAGTCTCTCTCTCCCTGTCTCTCTCTTTCTCTCTTTCTCTCTCTCTCTCTCTCTCTCTCACACACACACACACACACACACACACACACACACACACACACCTCTCTTCCCTCCAGTGACTCCCTGGAATTGGTTTCATAGAACCATAATGAAAAAAATGAGGAACCAAGATACTTACCTTATAGTTCCCTCCCTTTTTTTTCTGAAAATGCATTTGTAATAATACACATATCTATCAACTCTGATTTCATGCTTCATTCTTTTAAATCATCATATAATCTACATCTTCCATGCCTTTCTTAAAGTTAAACTTCTACCACTCACCTACCATGTCCTGGCTAGAAATTCTTTTGGGGGGGGGGCTACATTCTAGTCCTTCTTCCCTTTCTCTCTTGTTATGTACACAATGTACAATTAGCTTGGGGATCCATTGCCCTCTTAGGAATCACTTTCACTCTCTTCCAATGACTTTCCGCTGCATCAGCTGAGATAGAAGATAACAGGATACAGGTAAAGTGACTAGTCATATTGTCAATGATATTGTCTCCCTACATTTTAGAAGGAAGATATTCAGAAACAGATTACTGGAGCAACTTATGTCATATTTCATAGAAGGTGTTGCTGTTTTTTAAATTAGTTATATTCTCCATTCTATCTTCTGTTTCCTAAACTTCCTATATTATTCTCCTAACAGTTTGCTATCTCATACGCAGGTATAACAAATTATAGAACTGTCCAGCCAAAAATATTTTTTTTAAAAACAAATCACTGCCAAAACATTAAAAAAATTCCCCATGTGCCACTTGTGCATTAATCTTACAATCTGTACACTTAAATAACTTCAGAAGACTTCTTTTGCTAAAAATTTACCAAAATATTTTGAACACATAAAAATATTTTTAAAAAAAACAACAAAAACCCAGCATAAACTTTGCTTGTATAGGCATTGGTTAGAAGAGATTGTTGCACTAAGGAGTATATTCAAAAACACTTCCCTCCGATTTTACTAAAATGCAGGTTCTGAACCTTACAGCTTATAATGCTACAAACTTTTTAAAAAAAGCAAAAGTTAGCTCTGCATAATGTTCTATGGTACAGTAGGTAAGCAGTAAGCCTTAAATGCAATAAAAATAAATATCTTGTTGGTTACTTACATAGGGCCACCGTTCTGGCCTATAACTAAAATAATGTTTTATTTGACTTTTAATTTACTTAAGTGTATTGAATTATGAAAAGCTAACTTAAGGAGTTGAACAGTCTGTTATATATGGAACAAGAATGAAAATAGCTACCTGCTGATGGCCCCATGACCTTTCTACAAACCAAGCAATTGCTAAAAGAAAGAAAAAGAAAAGAAAAAAAAGGAAGAAAGAAAAATCACTAGTATTGAATATAGCCCTTAGTCACATAATATGTTAACTTTATGAGCAACCCAACAAGTAGAGGATAAAGTTTATTTTTCTTGCCACCCACTCCTTGAGGGGACAGTAATATTCATAGTGGAACTGTTCAAATTCTGGTGTCTGACGAATTTCACAAAGAAAGGACAGATCGATGCCTGACTCCAAAAGGACGAGGAGAAGAGGGAACACAAACAGTAACAGTCCCAAACCTACGACAAGGAGCCTGGAGAAACTCTTCACGAAGGGGTTCACCTGGATGTTGCCTGTCAAAATGTCATAGCTCCATGTCAGGGCTCTCCGTGCCTCCTTGAGTTCTTCTTCCTCAGCCATCAAAAAGGCATTTTCATCTGCTTCCAGGTCCTCAAATGAATCAGTGTCTTCTCTTTCCAACTCGAGCCTCGAAGGACAGTCAAAGAGCATGTCGATCTCATCCTCATCAACTGGGGTGGGAAGCAGGCTGGCACTTGGGTTGTAGACCAGCTCTGAGATGGTCAAGGGTTCCTCTTTGATTTTCTCCTCCTGCTCCCTTGAGAAGTCCCCATACTCTCCACTGTTCTTTATTGGTGAGCTAGATATCACAGGGGCTGAGCTGTCATCTTCTCTCAGCAATGGAATACCTGCCAAGAGAAATTTATTTTTTTTTTAAACTTGAGTATCTTTCTAACATTTCTATGCTAATGGCAAAGAGGGAGAGAACATATCCTAGTGACATCTTCACTTTAGCAGGAAGGCCTGTACTACTAAGTCCAAAAGATAACTTACTAAGTTCACAATACAAAAAAGCATGTTTGTGTGTAATCATAACTAGACAGGAAACTCTAATTCACAAACCTCTGATCTCAGCAAGACTTTGAAATTCTAAGGCAAATGATTAGAGAAAGTTGATATATTTAGAGCTGGGAGGGATATTAGAAACCATCAAATCTAAACCCCTCATTTTACAGATGAGAAAACTGAGGCTTATAGAGGTTATAGGATTTGCCCAGCATTGCACAGCTAGGAAGTATCACAGGGGGGATTTGAACTTGGGTCTTTCTGATTGCATGTCCTTCAGTTCAATCTGTGTTACATCAGGAAGATTCAGGTTCAAATTCTACCTGTGACCCTACGCTTAACCACTTAACCACCTCCGAAAAATGATGGGGTTAGATTCAAGGGCCTCTAAGATCCTTTACATCTCTGAATCTCCAATTATATGATAGGTCTTCATTCTGAAATGGACAGTATTCTATTTGCAAAAGTCTTCCCAACCATCTGATAAAGTATATCCAAGGGGGACCTAGAGGTACCATGGAAAATCAGCATAAGCTATAATTTAACATTTCAACACAGTTATGGCAATCTCCATTTCATATTTTTCAACCTCATTTCCCATGAAGAAGTCCCCACAATGGGCATAAAGAAATATCATATAGTCATTATGGCAGTCAAAGTAACTGCATAAATTAAGGAACCATCTGGCTATTTCATTCATCTACACTTAGCCAAAGTCCAGAAAACCATTCGACTTTTACTAGCTATAACAGTGACTCCTTATGTGAATTAAAGACGCTCTTTAGCATTTCACTATCTAAAAAATGAATAGGTTTTACTGGAAGTATATGTAAAGATCTTTCTAAAATCATCACATAATATTTCCTAATTTCTAGTATCTTCATGATCCTAAGAAGCTTCAGTAAAAAGAGCCTTCCTAAAGAAAAGCATAATTATTATAATAAATCTTAAGAATTTTCCATCATTCTATAACCAATCATAACATGAGAGTAACCCAAAGGAAGAAATTTTTCAGAGTGAAGGGGAAAATGTAAAGAATTGTGATTTGCAGTGTGGAAATGTATAACATCTCTAAAATCTAAAAGTTTCATACCATTTGGACATAGGTCAGTGTTGTTATCCAGCTTATAAAAGAGGATAAGGCAAACTTGACCCAGGAAGAAAATATTTCTTCCTTTTTTCCTTTGCCACATTCTATGATCTAGCCCAATTAGTCGTCTCTCTGTTGTTCAACATCCCATCTCCCGTATTCATACTTTGACAATGGTTTTCCCCTGTGCCTGGAATGCACTTCTTCCTCACCAATCCCTTATTTCCTTCAAAACTCTGTTCAAGTGCCACTTTCTACATGAAACTTTTCCTGTTTCCCCTTAGCATTTAGTGCCCTCTTCCCCCCGACTCAAAAAATGACTTCGTATTTATTCTGTATAGGTGTACATGTCATCTTCATCAACAGACTGTAAGCTTCTTGAGTGCAAGGACCTTTTTATCTTTGATTTTGTAAGGCTCATCACCTAGAGCCATACCTGGCATCTAGCAAGCACTTAATAAAATATTTGTGGATGACTATGAAGATAAAAGTGAGTATATCATGGCCTAGGATCTTAGATTTAGAGCTAGAAGGGACAGTCTAGATCATTTAATCCATCCCTCCTCTCTGGCCTGAGCTCACTTTTCTTCTCTTATTGCTTTTCACCACTTTGTTCACCCAAAGTTACTCCCTCATACCATCCGCATGGTCCCTTCTCAACATTATTCCTTATCAAGGTCTCGATCCTTCTCGATGTGATCCTCTCACTCAATTATACTGCCCCTCTCTGACCCCTGTTTTCTTTCCCCTGTAAAAGAAGAATGGGAGTAATCTGCAGTTTTCAGACTCAGTTAATTTGACTGGACCTTAATTGCTGAGTAAGAATCTGAGGTCCTGGTTCTTGCTCATTCTACAGAAGAATAAGGTACATAAATCAAGAAAGAGGAAAGTCAGACATCAAGCCAGGGGCAGGGGGGAAAAACAGTGAGAGAGAGAGAGAGAGAGAGAGAGAGAGAGAGAGAGAGAGAGATTTAAATGGCTTATTGTTTCAGATAAAAAGCTTATTAACTATTGACAGGATACAAGAATAGACGTTAACATATTTTGAATGGATGGCTGTACATTGCAGTAATTTTAGAGATTAAAAGTTTCACTACATATGATGTCAAGAGAATGTGAAAGTGGCCCTCAACATGTTGGAGAGGCCACCAATAGCAAACTTATGGAAAAATGTGGACAAGAGCTTCATAGGACGACCACTCATGAATAAATTTAGGTCTGCATCACTGGAGGGAACATCCATATTAGTGAAATCACAGATCCTGTTTGTGGATTGACTGGTAAGAAGACATTCCATGGAATTATAACAGCCAACCCAACTTATTCAAACAAAGTACTGACTCTGAAAAATGGAAAATGGATAAAATATATTGACTGTAAGTATCACTGTTTCTTAGATAAATTTAAATAATCATCAAGAGTTGCCACAAGTCATCTAAAATAGCCCCTAAACTGTCTCATTCAACAAACACTTAACATAGTTGCTAAGAGGAGAGCTATTGTAACTAAAGGCAAAACTGCTTGAGAAGTATGAGCTTATTTATAAGACTTTATAGAGGAAACTCAATCAATCAACGAGCATTTACTAAGGAGCTACTATGCACCAGGCATTGTGTTGGGCACAAAGATAATACAAAAGTAATAGGTAATACAAAGACAAAAGGACAACAGTCCTTGCCCTCAACAAGCGCATATGTAGCCTCATGTCATTTCTTGGGGTGACACAATGGTTTTGATCTGGTATTATAACTTGCAGTTCTCCAAACTGATGAGATTACAAGTTTGGATGGATGTACTCTATGATCTAGTGACATCAGACTCCTTGATGTTCCTTTAACAAGATACTCTATCTCCTGGCTGGGCATTTTTGCCAGATATCCGCCATACCTGAAATGTTCTCCCTCATCTCCACCTCCTGGCTTCCCTGGTTTCCTTCAAGTCCCACCCACAGTACCATCTTCTACAGAAAGCCTTTTCCAATCCCCTTTATGTTTAGTGTCTTCCTTCTGATGGTTATTTCCAATTTATCCTGTATGTAGCTTGTTTGTACACAATTATTTATATGTTGTCTTTCCCATTAGAGTGTGAGCTCCTTGAGAGCAGGGACTGTCTTTTGCCTTTTTCTTTTTCTTGTATAAGTGCCTAGCATATAGGCAGGTGCTTAATAAATGTTTATTAATTGGACTGACTAATTGTACCACTTCACAAAAGAGTAAAAAGCAAAGCAGAGGAAAACAAATCTCCACCATGTCTTACCTAAGGCTCAAACAAGCCAGATCACCCTAGAAACATTTACAGATGAAAGAGAGAGGATAATAAATATATACAAAATGGAATAGATATGTCAGCATTCTTCTAGTGATCTAGTCTCATCATTAATTACAATAAAACTGCTACATTATTATTCTGCCACCCCTCTACACAATGCCATATGTGGAAACTGAAGTGGCTATTGAAGAAGGTGAGAGAGAGTTGACCAGACCTGACCAAAAACAGGAAGAAACAAAATCCATTCTAGGTGACACCCAACCTCATGATTTTTAAGGTTATCTCAAGCTAGAAGATTACAAAAGAAAGATGGAAGTCTTACCCTCAAGTTATACTGATCTATATTACTAATTTCCATGTCCATAAGATCTCATATGAATATGATCTATGTGTGTACTGAGAGATCATTTATGAAAATAGGAGGAGGTAACTGGGAGGTTTTCATAACCATTTTTCTATAGCAGATTACATTCCCACAGTTATACTATCACTATTAACTACGACTACTGATGATGATGATGATGATGATGATGATGATGATGATGATGATGATGATTTTAACTAACATTTATACAGAGCTTACTACATGCCAGGCACTATGCTAAGTAAGCACTTTACAATTATTACCTCATTTGATCCTCACAACAACCGCAGGGATGTTTAGAGAACCCAAGATCCCACTCTACTTACTGTTTGTTGATTCCAAAAAAATAGACCCAGAAAAGCAACACAGAACCTAAAAGGCTCTCTTGCAGCAAGACTACACGTGTCACAATCATACAAAATTCCTCGATAGATGCAATCTAAGTAATAAGTTAGTTCAACAATCCTCTAGTTACCAGAATCACAATCAACAAACAGCAAGCAAATAATAAGTGCCTATTGCATGCCAAGCACTGGACTAGGAGCTGGGGATTAAATACAAAAAAAAAAAATAAACCAATTACTCTAGTAAAAACCACGCATTCTAAGGAAGGGGACACAGAGTCTCAGAGATGGATGGGAGCTTAGAAGGCATCTAGTCCAATCTATGCATGTATCCGTAATCCTTTCTACAACATTCCCAACAAGAAGTCATCTGGTTTTCTCACAGAGACTTCTACTGAGGAAAATCCATTAACCTCCAGATATAACTCCTTCTACTTTGGGATATATCAAAGGAAAGAAGATATAAAATAAGGGAGCTACAAGCTTGCCTAAAACATTGCTAGCTTCACAAGGATGTCCTACACAGAATTAATAGCAGCTAATTTACAATTTCTCAATCTACCTTAGCTGATGGGCTTTCCCCCCACTAGCACACATTTAGTTACCAACAAATGACTAGAAATGGAAAATTAGTAGCGTTAGTCTTACTGCTTCTGGAATGTTTGACAGGCTTCACTTGATTTCATCGGTGTGTTAAAAATATAACTAAGTAAATGTGCTAAACAAATTTCTACAGCTCACCTCCTGAATAATTGTTTTGGAAGGAAGATTATAAGG